CGGGTTCTAGTCCTGGTCAGGGCACCGTATTCTGTCCCGGTTGCCCCTCTTCCAGGCCAGCTCTCTGCTGTGGCCAGGGAGTGCAGTGGAGGATGGCCCAAGTCCTTGGGCCCTGCACCCCATGGGAGACCAGGAGAAGCACCTGGCTCCTGTCATCGGATCAGCGTGATGCGCTGGCCGCAGCACGCCGGCCGCGGCGGCCATTGGAGGGTGAACCAATGGCAAAGGAAGACCTTTCTCTCTGTCTCTCTCTCTCATTGTCCACTCTGCCTGTCAAAAAAAAAAAAAAAAAAAGATTTCTAATCCTGACTTCATTAGGTTATCATAAGGATTAAATGATATAAATGAAAAAGGCAATCTGGGAAAGCAATAGCAGATGACCAAAGTTCTTGGGCCCCTGCACCCAGATGGGAGACCAGGAAGAAGCTCCTGGCTCCTGGCTTCGGATCTGGGCAGCTCAGGCCGCTGCGGCCAATTGGGGAGTGAAGCAGCGGATGGATGACTTCTCTGTCTCTCTGCCTCTCTCTGCCTTTCTTTCTCTTTGTGTGTAACTCTGACTTTCAAATAAAAAAGTGAATCTTTAAAAAATGAAAGAAAGAGAGCGAGAGCGAGAGAGAGGCCAGGAGAGAGGAGGCCTGAGAGCTCCCTCCTATTGCTTTTCTTTGCTCTCATTCCAATACCATCCTCTTTAGGAAAGTTTAAATGTCCACTGGCACTGCTACTGTAAAGGAATCAGCATTTTCTTCAGTCTTTTGAGGAAATCACAGTTTGTTTTCTTGTTGGAAGTAATTCTTTCTCCATAATAAAATCAAATGACAAAGGATATAAATGACCACAGAAGAAATGTACTGGCCCGTTCTAAGGAGTCACTTATTCCATGAATATGGCAGACAAACACAACTTTTTAAGGGTAGGTGAAATCTACCTCAATAATATTTGGCTTCTCAGTAGAGATGCAATGATTGCAAATGTGAGAACAGCCCTGGTTTCAACAAGAAGAGATTTGATGGGCAGGCAGGGTTGGAAAACTGAGATGGGTTCACACCAATGGGCGAGGCTGGCCTCGCTGTTCTCTCCACTGACCCACGCAGGTTTTCCCTTAATCACTGACACAGGCCCTTCCAAGCTCTCTGCTCACGTGAGTAACGCAAGGTGCACCAACTCCGGAGGACTGCCTGTCACTTCCCTTCCTCAGCCCGGGGCCGCACCAGGGCACAGGGAGCCGCACGCCGCTCCTGCTGTTTCCATAACCTCTCGGATTGTTGTTGGACTTTCTAACCCTGAGCCAAATGCTTGGCCCCTGACCAATACTGGACCTCAGGACTGCACTTCAGGGCCAAGCTTAACCCCGGGACCTGCTTTCCCTAACCCAGTGTTTCCTTCGTCCAGAAACTCCCACCTTTCGATTTAGGGTTCTTTTGCACATCTTTGTAAAGGGCCCAAATTCCATTACAAAGCCTGCATTTGTTGCAGCTCCATTACAAAACCAGGGGTGGGTTAGGAGGCCAGGAAAGGATTAACCTGAACTGGCAGGACCGCGCCTGCTCAGAGCCCCTTCTAGATGGATGATGTTCTCTATTATAGCCAGCAACAGCCAGTGAGCAGAAAATGACGGATGCGGTTTTCGGAAGTGTGGCTGGGCCCGGGAGCCCCCTGGATCTAAGCAAGGCCCTGGACTCTGCATGTCTGGGAAGCTCCCCAGTATGTCCGTAGTCCTGGCCTCGTCGGATTCCACCAGCAGGAGCTCAGCCCCAAGAGGACGGGGCTGGACCAGCAGAGGAGATGGCAGCATTCGCTGGTGAAGTGAGCGCAGCGGCGCGCCGGTGCAGGACTCCAGTCCCAGCGCAATCAGAGCTGAATTCATGGCCAGCGGCGGCCAGGGGCGCGTGCTGCCCAGCGCAGGCCTCCGCCCTGGAAGCGGCCTGGCTTTGTCAGGACTGCTGTGTCAGCCGCGGAGCCCTGGCCGCCAGCCAGCTCTGCTGTCCGCCGCTCTCCCCCCGCTGGCTGCTTCTGTGTCCAGAGGCGCCGGCGCGCACGGAGCACCTGGCCCCGCTCCACCTGCGGCCGCGGCGCGCGGCGTGGAACACCTGCCCCCGCCGGGGAGGGCGGCGGGCGGGGGCCCTGGGAGGAGACAGCTGGCAGAAGGAGTAACTGGGGGTGGGGGTGTCTCTAGGGGCCTGCGGTGCGGGCAGGTGGCTGGGGAGCCTGGCGACTCCTTCCGGAGATGAGGGCAGACGCCGCCGCTGTCTGGAAGCACAGCTGCGCCAAGTGAGGGCGGCCTGGGAGCCGCGGGGTCGTCCGGTGCAAACCAAGACCGCGAGGAAGGCTCCCGCAACGCCAGCGCTGGGAGCACGCACGCCGCCGTGGCCAGGCAGGCCTGCCTACGGGGGAGGCAGCAGAATCCGCTTCTCTGCACAGCACCTAGGGTGATCATGGTCTCTTGTCTTATGACAAGGCTGCTAAAGTCCGTGGTTCTCATATGAGTGGCAGTTTCCTCTTGGACATGATTTTTTCTTGTGTCCAATTTCCTCACTGAACTCCCTTTGTAAAAGCCCCTTTGCTCCAAAATGAGTTACCCTAAACCAACGTGCGGGATTAGAAGCAGGCAGAGCTGCACCGAGTAGCAGCTCATGAATAGTAGCAGGCATCGACACCCCGTCCAGGACACAGGCGCTCTGCTTAGACACGCACTGATCCGGACATGTCTACAGCGTGTAGTACCGTGCAGCACTGTGGCAGGCAGCCGGCGCATCATGTAGAGCGCTATTTCTTTCTCCTTCTGATCCGGCGGAGATCTCACATGAGCCTCGACCTCAGAAGACAGACACCAGGGTCATTTTCAACAAGCCATGAAGTCACCCTACCCCTAGATGAAGGGCCTCCATTTGTCCTGCTCCCAGGGCAATCCCAAAGATTTAAAGTCGCAGTGACACCACTGCACTGACAACGTCCATGCAATAGGATGAAATTTCAGGGCCGATGTGGTGGTGCAGTCATTACGACGCCGCTGCGATGGCAGCATCCCACATGGGAGAGCCAGTTCAAGTCCCAGGTGCTCTGCCTCCAGGCCAGCTCCCTGCTAATGCACTTGAGAAAGCGGCGAAAGATGATTCCAGTGCTCAGACACCGGGCACCCACATGGGAGACCCAGATGGAGCCCTGGGCTCCTGGCTTCAGCCTGGGCCAATTCTGACCATATTGGTCATTCAGGGAATGAACCAGCAGATCGAAGATTTCTCTCTCTCTCTTTTTCTCTCTGTGCCTTTTTTTTAAAATGATTTTATTTATTTATTTGAGAGGTAGAGTTGCAGACAGTGAGAGGGAGAGACAGAAAGAAAGGTCTTCCATCTGCTGGTTCACTCCCCAAATGGCCTCAATGGCCTGAGCTGCGCTGATCCAAAGCCAGGAGCCAGGATCTTCTTCCAGGTCTCCCATGTGGGTGCAGGGGCCTGAGGACTTGTGTCATCTTCCACTGCCTTCCCAGGCCATAGCAGAGAGCTGGATTGGAAGTGGAGCAGCCGGGACTTGAACCGGCGCCCATATGGGATGCCAGCACCACAGGCAGAGGCTTAACCTACTGCACGACACAGCCCCTCTCTGTGCCTTTCAAAAGAAGAAATAAAAAGAATAAATTTCTGAAATCCCAGGAAAAATAGGGTTTGCTTTATTTGTTTAGACCAGGAACCCCAGTAAAACATCTATGGAGGTAAGTGGTAAATTTCAAGGCTCATCAACAAGTGTGTATAGTACATGACAATGGAGGGGGGGAGGGTCCTTATGAGTGACACTGGAAGAAATGCAGCCATCCTCCCAGTCTGAAAATTGGGTGCACCATACCTGTGGCACAGGCCAGTGTTCACCCAGCAGCAGCCTGGCTTCACCCCTCCCAGCCCTGGTCCATTGTATCCCATCTCAGGAAATCCTCCTTATGGGATAACTGCTGAGTCCTTCATGAGCATCACTCTTAAACGCTTTGGGATAGGGGTTGGCCCTGTGGTGTAGTGGGCGAAGTACAAGCATCCTGTATGGGCTCCAGTTTGTGTCCTGGCTGCTCCTCTGCTTTGACCTGGGAAGCAGCAGAAGATGGCCCAAGAGCTTGGACGCCTGCACCCACATGGGAGACCCAGAGGAATCTCCAGGCTCCTGGCTTCAGACTAGCCCAGCTCCAGCCATTGTAGCCATTGGGGAGTGAAACAGAGGATAGAAGACCTTTCTCTCTGTCTCTCCCTCTGTCTCTGTAACTTACCTCTCAATAAATAAATAAATAAATCATTAAATATTTAAAAAAAACTTCAAGAAAGAATAGAAGATGTCAACTCTGTACCTTCAAAAGTACCAAATTAAACAGCTAGAAGTCTGTTAACACTGATTTTTGTTGCATTACTTATTCAGAAGTTGGTCTGATGGACTCACTTAGCTGCATGAAAAAGTCACCCTACTCTTAAAGCACCTGGATAAAAGTGGAATTTCATGCACACTTGTGCATTCACACATGGCTCCCAGCCTGGGCCCTAATCCTCTTGTTGCTCATGTAAGATGTACAAACACATCCATGCTGGTGTTGCATAAATAAAGGCCTTTTGGAAATTAAGGAACACACACTGATTCCTCACAGTCCTACATCATGTCATATTGTGCCGTACCATCACAGGCAGTTGTCACAGGAGTCCTTAAACAAATCTGAAAAAAGACAGGGAGATTTTATCACTCCCGTTTTATTGATGAGGGAAGACATTCAGAACAATTTATGACCTCGGCAAAGTCAACCAGCAGGAAAAGGTCAGGATGTAATTGGGATTCTTCGTGGCTCCATGCCTTTGTGGTGCTGGGACAGACTACACGAAAGCGTGTGAGGACAGAGAGTGCCTGGAGTGCTTTTTGTGACCTCAAGGAGGGGAGGAAGAACTATCAAGACCTTCACTTTCACAATGTGTGTGTGTATGTTTCCATCTAGCCATGGAGGAAAACACCCTGAAGTGGTCTTAAGAGAAAGTTATTATGTAAAACACCTTACAGAGCTGCTTTCTAATCGTTATCTCCCTGATGAACAAACACATCCTGTGAGAGTGTTCCCCCCAACAGAACCACAAGTCCTAGGACGGCCAGAATCCCAAGCCAATGTCCGCAAAGAATAAGGGCTCAGTGAGTAGATGCTGAGCAGATATTGGAGCCACAGTGGTCACCGGTGATCCAAAGATGGTGGCTGGGACCCCATAGATACTCAATCAGCGTTTATTAAACAAACAGACAGTGAATAAGTGATTGAAGGGTGTTAGCATTCTGCAGCAGAAAATACTGGGACACACATTGATCTGTAAAGATATATTCATGACATATTATACAAGTAAAGGGAATTATTTGTTTAATCAATCAAACAGGTGTGTCATATGCTATCTATATGCTATCTATAGTCAGAATAACCTGAATTAGGAACAAATTTGATTGAATGACATTAGCAAGGACTGAGCCATTCTAAAGAAAATTGACTGTTAACAGAATTATAAAAATCAGTTACTGACTACCTCTCTCAACCAAAAGTTGTAACATCATTGGAGGCTAGCACTGTTCTCCACCTGCATAGTATCCAACAGGAAAGTCAAAACCATGTTAAGACTCTGATCTACAGTCTGTGGTGCAGTCCTCTCATCAGCACCTATCTGATACACAGAAACAAATATTAACACCTGATTGAGGTGCTGGTGCTGGGGTGTAGTGGCTAAGCCTCTGCCTGTGGTGCCAGCATCCCATTTGGACATCAGTCGTGTTCCCACCTGCTCCTCTCCCAATCCAGTTCTCTGCCTGTGGCCTGGGAAAGCAGTGGGAGATGGCCCAAGTGCTTCAACCCCTGCACCCACGTGGCAGACCCGGAGGAAGTTCCTGGCTCAGCTTCAGATCGGCCCAGCTCCTGCTTTTTTGGCCTTTTGGGGAATGATCCGACGTATGGAAGACCTTTCTCTCTGTCTCTCCCTCTTTCTGTCTGTAACTCTGCCTCTCAAGTAAATAAATAAAATATTTTTTTAAAAAAAGACCTGATTGAGGCCCTGAAAAGAATCATGGGAACAGCGCCATCCCACCTGACAGGTGGCTGCAGAAGAGAACCACATGTTTCCGAGATTGAGGTGTTGTGAAGTTTGGCCTCATCGCTCTTCTGCAGGGACTGCAGGCACAGATGATGACATTAATCACAAGGGGTATTCTGCAGCTAACAGCATTGCTTCCTGATGACTCCCTATTTTATGAAAACTCTGAACATAGTTAAACTTTATGATTGCTATGAACAGTGTGGGGAGCAAAATCAGCTTCAGTGAGCGACGTGTGTGGCAGCTGATCCCCAGCAGAGTGAGCCTTGCCAGTTCAGGTGCCCTGCTGACCACTCCCTGCCTGGAGGGGGGATCCCACAATTTTCCCATGATTAGTACTGGGATATCATGCTGTTAGAACTCCATGTGTGAATTGCAGCCAGGCCCCTAACCTATCAGGAGAGCAATTCCCAGGTACTACCAGTCAACTGCACTTCAGCTTCCCTCTGCTTGTTTGCCAACTCCGGATTCAAAGGCCACCTGGGGAACAGACACAGAGCACTCCCCTCTCCAGAAGGAACAGCTGCAGCACCTCCTTTCTCCAATTCTGCATCCCTTCGGTGGAAGGCCTGGGCCCCTTTTTGTAAAAATGCTTTATCATCATCCAGAAGCTTCGCAAAGTCTCGTGTGTTCTATCCTCAACCTCAGGACAGCCTTCAACGCAGTGGGAGACAGTCCTTTCCCAGGGATGAAGCTGAGCCCGGCTCCGGGTCACCTGCCTATTCTCAGGCCCCCAAACTCAGTAGGTGAAGATTCTAATCAATCAAGTCAGAACTTCCGATTAAATTCTCTGTGCTAAACACTCCACCATGTACTTCCACGTTATGGAGGGCAGCCTGCAAGGAAATGTACTTATAATCCAGCCAATATTTCACCCAAAAAAAGCAGTGTCCATGAAGACTGCCATTGTAAAGAATATCATTATGAAGACTATCACTGCGGATATGAATAATGAAGAAAATCACTGAAAGTAGAATGCATTCCCTGCCATTTTTCCTACACACCTGAGATGTCTCCCGTGGTCTTTGGACTCAGGACAAAGCCTGGTTCTAATGCTTTCAATTCTGAAAGGTGTGGTCAAATTCAGACTTGGGCAACGTCAGTGGAGCAGGAGTTTTTGTTCCTATCACTTACTTGAACTTCAGCGTGTACTATAAGACAATTGCTAAACCGTTTTTACAAAGTTTTCTATAGAGTGGATGTAATGAACGTTAACAAAACAAACAAGCTGTAGCTGAGGTCATTGAGCACTCAAATGTCTGCCCAGGAAATACTGTATGAGCTATTTATACTCAGAGCCTACTCTTCACAGCTTGATCCAAAAATAGACACCTCACTGCTTTTCTTGTGCTGCCATTTGTTCACTCAGAGAACTGAGTATCTTTTTATCCTCTGCATGCGAGAGGTTAAATATGGGCATGCTATATGCTGTTAAGATTGGCAGAACCAAGTCCCAAGAATAATACCAAATATATATGGTATTCTTCCAAAAGGTGGGACATAACTCCCTTCTGAGGAACGAGACCTATGTACTCAGCTTTTAAGGAGGGGGAAATGTATTTTAAAACTGAGAAGAAACCCTCCCCTTTGCCTGGCCTTGCATTTGGCGTTGGCTCCGTAGTCAGGTTGTCCTCTCCCTGTGCAGCTCCTATGGAGGAAAGGGGATGGACAGATTTCCCTCCTGCACCCTGAGAGTCACCCATGGACCACGCTGGACACAACCACCCCTACAAAGACTCATATTTGTTTTGAGATGTCCTCAACCTGCCCACGGGCAAATCCAAGAAATGCCCTCATTGTCTACAATGACATGTTTCAATAGGTCACTTTGTGCAGCTTCTCCCAGGAGTCTTGCATCATATTGGATGGAAAAATCTTGGGAAACAGAATCAGAATGCTGGGGTCCTGCTTTTAGAAAACACATCGGCAATGGAGCAAAAGAAAGCTTCTGAGCCCGATGCGTTTCCTGTGACGCAACATTCCTGCAGGCTGAAGCTGGGCGATCTGTGTGAGAAAAAAGAAAAACCGGAAAGAATGAGTTCACTGAAATCCGGATAAGACATTGAAGGCACCAAAAGTCGTCCCATGGGGAAGTTACCCTGAGCCCAAGGTGAGGAATGAAGTTGAAGTATGAAGTGCAGTGGTGTGGGCGGCAAGAGGGGTCCAGGCGGAGGCAGAAATGGAAAAGTGACCTGAGAACAGGGACAGCGCCTGCCCCTCCTTTTCCTCCCTGCCCCTTTCTCCTTTGCTCAAAGTAACTTCAACCCTTCGATTTTCTTCTTCATTATTTTCTGGAACCGAACACAGTAGAAGGCCTGTGAGGCCCAACTTGCAGGTATCGCCATAGCCCAGCACTGAAGCAGAGTTTTGCAACTAGTCTGAGGAGCTGCACACACCAGCTGGGACTTCTTCGGTGTCACCCCCACCCCAAGGACGACAAATGCTCATCCCACACAAGGGATTGCCTCACCCCGGAATTTCATTCCCTGGTGGTCCTGAAGGCTGGAGGTCCAGATCCAGGTGTGGCCAGGGCTGGGCTCTCTGGGGCTATGCGGAGGGGTTGTTCTGGCCTCTCTCTCTTTAGCCCGTAGGTGATGACTCCACACCAGGTCTCTTCACAACCTCGTCCCCCAGCTGTCTCTGCGTGCCCAGATTTCCCCTAAGGACCTTCTTTTAACATGATCACATGCAAATAAGGCTGCCTCTGAGCTGCCAGGGGCTGGACTTCAACCTCCACATGGGGGCGGGTTGGGGGTGGGGGGTGGGCATGCCCTCCAGCCCTGCTTCAGTGCTCTTCTCAGAATGTCTAAGCCAAGTCTGAGTAGCACCCAGGGTCCAAATCTACCCAGGGGCACTACCCTTTATCCAGCTGTGCACCTGTGATGCCAGCAACCGCAGCTGCTGGCAAAACGAAGTATGGACATGGGCGTGAAATAACTCTGCCCGCCCCCGCCCCCACCCCCACCCCCACCCCCGCCCCGTCAAAGGAGGGAAAGGCAAGTTCGGAATCCCAGGCAAGTTTGGAATCTGGGCAAGTTCCATTCCTGTTAGGGCCCGGGGATCTTCCTCCCTAGTTCCATCTCCCAGGCTTCCCCGCCAGCCCCTCCTCCCAGCCCCAACCAAGGAGGGAGGGCCCTGGTTCAGGAGCCACAGCCAGTCACCGAGGGGTCCTGGGCAGGGTTGGGCAGTGAAGGGACAGAGGGCAGAGTGCCCAGGCACTGGCCCAGGTGCAGCCACAAATGCCAGGGCCGCAGATGAGCAACAATGAAGACGTCGTGGGTGCTTATACCTGGGGACAGGAAAGCAGGAGCCCTGAGGATCCTCTAAAAAGGACAGCCCCCCCCCCAGCAGGGCCCACAGCTGTCCCAAGGGCTGCCCAGCCCCTTGGGCCCAGAAGCCAAGGGCAGGATTGGGAGCCACCTGGGTCCAAGGGCAGGGGCAGATACTGGGCACCGCATTCCTACCTGGAACACCCACCTCCCACACTGGAGCAGCTGGTCAGCTTCCTCTTCCACTCGGACCCAGCTTCCTGCTAACACAGCTGGAACACAGTGGCTGGTGGCTCAGTTGTACACCGGTTCCCGATACCCAGCTGGGACCCCAAGATGGAATTTCCCAGTCCTGGTTTCAGCCTGGCCCAGTCCTGGCTGTTGCAATCATTTGGGGAGTGAACCAGCAGATGGAAGATCTCTCCCTCCCTGTCTCCTTTTCCCTCTTCCTGTAAAGTTAAATAAACAAATAAATAGACAAATAAATAAATACTTTAAACTACAAATATTCCTAGACAGCCCCGGCCAGAACTAAGAGAGGACCTGGCCAGGATGCGCATAGCAGAGTCTGTGGATCCCATCCCACTGCAGCCAGCTGGTGCATGGGCCATCTGCACCCCTGGTCACAGATGCCAAGGTGCTCACAGGCAGAGGCTTACGGTGCGGGTCTACACTGTGACATGGTAACCAACTGTGTGCTGCTGCGGGGTCCCAGCAACCCAGACTGAGCATTGGCGCAGAGAGGCCCAGGCTGCCTGCTGGGGTGTTTGCAGGTGACACTGGTATCTTTGACATTCCAAGCCACACGTCCGCAAGGGTACCACAGATGAAAAGGCAATGAATGTCGTAAAGTGTCGGTCACAATCAAGTGACCATATTATAAAACACAAATGAAGTCATAGGCTCAAAACAAGTTCTCTAGTTTATGATTCTGTGGGAACAACATTTCCGTTTTTTGAAGTTGAAACAGAGGGAAAAGCGGGGAGAGAAAGAGAAAAAAAAAATTCTCCTCTCCACCAGCCATTGTCCAAATGCCCAAAATGGCTGCGGCTGGGCCCAGAGGCAGGATTCCAATTACTTGTCCATCACTGCTGCCTCCCAGGGTCTGCATTATCCGGAAGCTGGAATTAGGAGTGGAGCCAAATAGAGAACGCAGGCTTTCTGATATGGGACATGGATGTTTTATCCAATAGTCTAAATGCCAGGCTGACATCATTTTCAGTAGTGTTAAAAACAATAAAACATGAACACCTGAAGTGACCTAGGTGGCCACCTCGTCCAGTTTTCTTGTTATACTTGAAGACAAGGTCCCAGGGGATTCACCCCTGGCCCGAGCATCCTGGGGCCAGAGCTGGCAGGAGTCGGAGCTCTCCTCTCGCCTGTACCCTACACAGGGGCCTCTGCAAGGGAGTAGGGACAGGGCAGGGAGCCTCATGCCCCATCCTCCCCACACCCCTGCAAAGATGACTGCAGGCAGGCAGCGTCAATGAGTGCCTCTCCAAAGACAAGGTCACACTCCATGCCCCGTCCACAGCCACTCCCTTCTCTGTGCATGCTGTGGCTACTTAGAAATCAGTAATCAGAGGCTGGCGCTTTGGATTAAGCCGCCATCTGCAGTGCAGCATCCCATGCAGGCGCCGGTTCATGTCCCAGCTGCTCCACTTCCCACTTGCCTGGGAAAGCAGCAGAAGATGGCCAGAGTGCTTGGGCCAAGTGCTTGGGACCCTGCACCCACATGGGAGACTCAGAAGCAGCTCCTGGATTCTGGCTTCAGCCTGGCCTAGCCCCAGCTGTTGCAACCATTTAGGGAGTGGACCAGCGGATGGAAGATCTTTCTCTGTCTCTGTCTCTCCTCTCTCTCTCTTTCTCTGTAACTCTACCTTTTAAATAAATAAATAAAGCTTTTAAAAAGCCAAGAAATCAGTAATCATTTGTGTTCCTCACAGCTCTACCTATACCATTCAGTAATGCAAATAAAATAATCTTTTCATGAAAAAAAAAAAAAACTCGGATTTTCTAAACTTACAAGAAGAGGAGAAACAGAAGGGACAGCACGAGCTCCTGGTCTGGTGAGGGCCACACAAGGAAACAACAGCGGATGCCAGAGCTCGAGCCAATTCCAAAATGATTTAGTTGAAAACAGGGTTCCTGGAGGTTGGGCTTGAGAGCAGAGACCACAGCTCAGCTGCTCTGTGGGAGTGGAGGCTGGGACTCTCCCCATCCCACTGAGAGGAGGCCACAGGACTTCCGGCCTGGTCCTGCCTGCCTGCAGCTGCACCAGCCCCGTGGCTGCACCAAGCAAATCCCAAGAGCACACGGGACCCTCACCGCTCGTCCCTGGCATTGGAAATGTACAGTAAGCACACAGTGAAGGGCAGGGCATGGATGCTTCTTTCTCTCCCTGACAAACACTGGGACAGCAGCCACCTTTGAACAAATCAGAACTGGTGACTCTTAAAATTGTGCTTCCAAGATTTCCTGAGATTTCTTTCCATGGTGTCCTCCCATAAACACTCCCTTCCCCCAGCTCACCCTCAGCCACACAGCACACCTCTCTTCTTCCTTGGAGCATGAGACAAAGCTGCCACGCAAGAGGGAACCCCATCTCCAAGACGACAGCCTCTGGCCCCTGGCCCTTGCCTCCTCTCTGCAGCCCCGGGCATTTGTGCAGCTCCGTCCCTCTTTTGTTCCCCGCCAATGATTAGCATAATGAGGAGGAGCCAGCTCCCCACCCCCAGCCCCTCTGGGCTGCAGCCGGAGGCCCTTTGCACTGTGCTGACAAGTCACCCCTTACTCGGCACCAAAAACATGTGTGTTTGGGAAACACCTATTTACTTTCATTTTTTAAAAAATCCACGAAGTGTCCAGTCAAATGCCGTTTCCACTTCAGCTCACCAAAATAGACAAACAAAAAAGGTTTGAATGATATATTTTATATGAAAATAAGGTTTGTTTAAACGGCACAAGGTATCAAGTTCTAGCAAATGTCTGGCTAATAGGGATAGTGTGAACCCATGGAGAAGTTTTATCAGAACCACAAGCGTCCCTGCTGTCAGTAGCCTCACATTCAGGTGTGTGAGCATGTGTTTGTGTGTGTGTGTGTGTGTGCATGTGTGCGTGCCGGGCTGTGACATAAAAACATACCTCATTTTGCAAGGAATGATTGAGCTAAGTGTGGAAGCCCCTGCCCTATGCTGTATTGTCCTAGGGTCCCTCTGTGTTTTCTCTGTGGGAAAGATTAAACCGAAGACTGAAAGAAAACCACGCTTTGCTTGCTTCGCAAAGGGGAGTAGAATTTGCTTTGAGGAAGGAGTGTCCGCTGAACACAAAGCAGGAGTCCCGTGTTAGCTGCGTGTTGGAATGGACCATCTGGCTGCCCATGAGGACAGGGAGGCCAATTTGGCGTCTGTTCCTAAAAAATCCACGCAGCCTTGAGGAAATCCTGAGCCCACACACTGAGGGTGGAACCCAGCAGGAGGGAGTAAAATCAGGGGCCCTTCAGGTGGAGAATGGATGGATCTCACTGAGTGTACCAATGAGTGTGCCAATGCACTACTCAGTACACACTCACAGAGCAGCTATTGTGTGCCAGGAATGGTTTTAAAGATGAAAATAATAAAAGGAGCAACATGTGTGGGCATCACATACGCCACACTCTTCTTAGCATTCATTTCACCACAACACTTCTAAGAGGCTGTGACCATTATCTCATTTTAAATATTGGCACATGGAGGGACATGAAGGGTTCAATAAGTTGCCCAAAAGACACTATGAAATGATTGAGAAGACAAGCCAAAGGTGTGCAAAGGACACATCGGCAGAAGGATGCTACCCGAAATACAGGAAGGGCTCTTAAAATCCAATAAGCACAAAAAAACAGCTCGATTTTTGAAATGGACCACTCTCTCTGCCTCTCCTCTCTCTGTGTAACTCTGACTCTCATGTAAATAAATAAATCTTTAAAAGGGGGTGGTGTGTGTGTGTGCGGCGCTGTGGCATAGCGGGTAAAGCTGCCGCCTGCCGTGCTGGCATCCCATGTGGATGCTGGTTCGAGTTCCAGATGCTCCACTTCCCATCCAGCTCTCTGCTGTGGCCTGGGAAAGCAGTAGAAGATGGCCCAAGTCCTTGGGCCCCTGCACCTGTGTGGGAGACCTGGAAGAATTGCCTGGTTCCTGGCTTCAGATCGGCACAGCTCCGGCCATTGTGGCCATTTGGGGAAGTGGATGGAAGACCTCTCTCTGTGTAACTCTGACTCTCAAATAAATAAATAAATCTTTAAAAAAAAAAAAAAGAAAGAAAGAAGTGGGCTAAAGACTTTAATAGACAGGCGACCAAAGAAACTAATTAGATGACACGTAAGCATTTGAAAAGATGCTCCTCTTTGTATATTGGGAAAAATGAAAATTAAAACAACAATCAGAGACCACTGCATGCTTGTTAGAATGGCTAAATTTCAAAACACTGACAATAGCACATGGTAGCCAGGATGGGGAGCAACCGGAACTCTCAATCATGGCTAGCAGAAATGACAAATGGTACAGCAACTTTGAAAGACAATTTGGAAGTTTCTCACAAAACTGAACAGACTCTGACTATATAATACAGTAATCATATTTCTTGGTATTGACCCAAATGAGCTGAACACTTACATTGAAACAAAAACCTGTACATGGATATCTACAGTAGATTGATTCATAAACATACAAAGTTGGAAGCCACCAAGATATACTTTAATAAAGGGATAAATGAACTATAGCATGTGCAAACAATGGAACAGTGTTCAGTGGTGAAAACAAATAAGTGGAGCTGGTGCTGTGGCATAGTGGGTAAGGCTGCCGCCTGCAATGCCAGCATCCCACGTGGGCACTAGTTCCAGTCCCAGCTGTTCCACTTCCGATCAAGCTCTCTGATATTGCCTGGGAAAGCAGTGGAAGATGGCCCAAGGACTGGGGCACCTGCACCTACATGGGAGACCTGGAAAAGCTTCTGGCTCCTGGCTCCTGGCCTCGGATCTGCCCAGCTCCAGCTGTTGCAGCCATTTGGGACGTGAATCAGCAGATGGAAGACCTCTCTCTCTGTCTCTGTCTCTGCCTCTCTGTAATTCTGCCTTTCAAATAAATAATAAATCTTAAAAAAAAATACAAGCTATCAAGCCACCAAAGACATAAGAAAAAACACGAATGCACATGGCACAGTACAAGAAGCGGACCTGAAATGAGACTTGGTCTCTTTTCCAACTACATGATATTCTGAAAAAGGCGAATCTATGAAGTGAGAATATGGGTGAAAGGCTGTGGGCAGGGAAGGAGGAATAGACCAAGCACAAAACAATGTTAGGGCAGTGACCATATTCTGTAAGGTACTAGAGACAGGACATTATATGATTGTCCAAACCTATAGAAGGTGTAACACCAAGAACACATGGCAGGATTTCGTGTGTTGTTGTAGAGTCACAGACGGAGAAAAATGGGCTGCTATGGTGAGAGAAAACTGATAGCGGGAGTAGATGGGTTGAGGGGAGACAGAAAATATGGGAACTCTCTGCACTCGTCATTCAACTCTGCTATGAACCTAAAACTGCTGTAAAAAAGTGTATATGCATATATTAAAATACATAGTTCCTATGTGTAATTAAAAAAAGAAAACTGGGAGAAAGTAGGATTATAGAATTCTCTAATCATAATACAATAACTAATAGCCAAGGGCAATGTGAGATACAAACAAACAAACAAGATACTGAAGCCAAAAGGTTCAGTTCAAGACATAATCCTTCCAAGTCAGCTCACAACAGCTAAGCCAGTGTTTTTCAAAATCCAATGGTGCCTCCTTAGTAGTGCAACTCAGTGGGTTTCAGCCAATATAAAAACCTGGAGTGGAATCCGGCAGAAAAGAGCGGAACTACACATACTGAGGAGAGAGAGGCATTGCTTTGCAACACGCTGCTTTCTGCACCATGATGTGAAAATGTCTTTTATCAGACAGATCATGGTCAAGGCAAGCTTGAAGATCCTTGCTGTGGGCTGCACCACCTCACTGTGCTTGCTTTAGTGAGTCCCACTCCTCAGTGGGATGGGTCAGGGAATAAATGAGTTGAAACATCAACAAGACTATCACAGCATTCAAGTGTGTTTTCATGATCGGTGCTGGGGTAGTGTGTGTGCATGAGTGTGTGTGTTCACATGTGTGCACTAGTGTGTGTGTGTGCATGCATGTGTGTGTGTGTTCAGGACAGTTCCACCTTACACAAAGTGCAGGTTTGCACCTGGATTCCCAAATGCAGAGGACAAATGAAGAGAAAGTTCAGGGTGAATGAACTAAAATGTGGAATCTCCACAGCACAGTGAGAAGGGAGCATGATTGCTGTGGGGTGTTAGGCAGGACTCACACGGTATCCCCATGTGGACCTCTCTGAGACACAGCTATTTACTCTGGGGAAATACCAGTGGTTCAGGATACAAAAGGCCTTCCAAAACTTCAAGGAATGTGCATTATTTAAAAAATATGCATGGATTTCAAAGTTTTCTTGCACTGAAATAAAGTGATCTTTTAGTTCCATCTAGCATAAACTGGCTAAAGCATATCCTAGCAGGTGCATTAGATAGAAAGTTTGGGACAGCTTCCCCATTTTCGTTTTTCAGCATGGACATAGTGATGAGAACCACTACAGAACTATGAAGAGCCACAGTGTGTTTGCGTGTGTGTGTGCAGATGTGGGAGTGTTTCAGAGGCAGGGTGAGTTTATGTCTGACCTACACTGAAGGGTGACAGAGCAGGAGGCAGAAGACATTCAGAATCCAGCTCAGGTTTGAAGTCTGAAGCAGAGATGGGGAGCTCCTTCCAGAGGAGAATAAAAGGAACATGTGCTGTCCTGCTACTGTGCAGAGATGGGGAAATGTGTGTAGCTGGAATACTTTCAAAGGGTGTGTTCCCTTATATATATGTGTCAAGTATTTACCCCGTGATATATTTTTTTAAGATTTTAAGATTTATTTATTTGAAGGTCAGAGTTATACAGAGAGAGAAGGAGAGACAAAGAGAGAGAGAGGTCTTCCATCTGCTGGTTCACTCCCCAGATGGCCACAATAGCCGGAGCTGCGCCGATCCGAAGCCAGGAGCCAGGAGCTTCTTCTGGGTCTCCCACATGGGTGCAGGAGCCCAAGGACTTGGGCCATCTTCTGCTGCTTTCCCAGGCCATAGCAGAGAGCTGGCTCGGAAGCAGAGCAGCCGGGTCTCAAACCAGTGTCCATATGGGATGCCAACACTGCAGTCAGAGGCCTTACCCCGCTACACTACAGTGCAGGCCTCTATGCTGTGATATTTTTAAAGTATTATTTGCTTAGTGAAATGTTTCTTCCCCAGAGGAAGAAGGAGTATTTCATGTTCCCATTGTGTTATCATAATTTTGAGAGATTTTTGTAAACTATCTTAATTCCTTAACTAATAGTCCTTACAAGTAAAGTCTTTATTTCAAAGATGCGATTGTAAAAAGATAATCATAACAACTGCAAAGTACAGTCATTTGTGGCTCTAATTCAATATGACTCTTCTTTGAAAAATATTTTATTTGAGAGGTAGAGTAGCACAGAGAAAGAGAGAGAGAGAGAGACAGAGAGAGAGAGAGAGACAGACAGAGAGAGAGAGATTCCATTCACTAGTTCATTCCCCAAATGGCTGCAACAGCCAGAACTGGGCCAGTCTGCAGGCAGGAGCCAGGAGCTTCTTCTGGGTCTTCCTTGCAGGTGTAGGGGCCCAAGCACTCTGGTCATCTTCCACTGCTTTCCCAGGCCATAGCAGGGAGCTGGATCCAGAATGGAGCAGCCAGGACTCTAACAGACGCCATATGTGATGCCAGCACTGTAGGCGGAGGCTTAGCCTAGTATACCACAGTGCTGGCCCCCCAGTATGACTCCTAAGAGTTGGAGCATCAATTTAATATTCAACAATATTGATTGTTAATAGAGAAAACTTCTAGTCTGACTAAAAATACACAGGTAAATACACAGATGCAAACCAAGGGTATTCTGTGGCTCTAAAAAGAAGGCCAAAGGGCCCGATCCTGATGTAAGCTTAGGCGTGTCAAAAATAGCACAGGGGCTACAGTTGTGGCACCACAGGCTAAACCACTGCTGTAGACACTGGCAGCTCATATAAGCACTGGTTCTGGTACCGGCTGCTTCACTTCTCATCCAGCTCTCTGTTAATGCACCTGGGAAAGCAGAGGAAGATGGCCCAAGTGCTTGGGCCCCTGCACCCACGTGGAAAACCCAGATGGACCCTGCACCCAAAAGGGAGACCCAGATGGAGTTCCAGGCTCTTGTCTTCAGCCAGGCCAAGCCAGGGCTGGTGCAGCCATTTGGGGAGTGAACCAACAGATGGGCCAGTGCTCTCTCTCAATCCCTTTCTCTCAACTCTATCTTCTAAATAATCTTTTTAAAAAAATCACATACATTTCCACTTTACTAAATTTTCAAGGGATGTGGTATTAAAGAAAACTTCACTTTCTATTAACCTAAAATCCGTTTAAGTATTTGGTTACTCGTGTTGTTGCAGACATCTGTTTCTCACGAGTTAACACTGTTTCTGTAAGCAGCACGTAGCCTCTCAAGCACTGTCCTGTTTCTTTTTTTTTTTTCCTCATTTATTTAAAAAATTTCCCATAAGGAGAAAAAAAGTGTAGAGATTAGCTACTTAATTCTCTTTTCCTCAGCCCAAGTCTTTACTACCTCTGATTTTTTAAATGCTTGGGGGTGCTTGTGTTACAAGGTAGCAACCTGCTCCATCATTTGGGTAAACTGTCTTTCCTTGCCCCCTTGGGAGCAGGGGAGGGGTTCCCCCAGCACACCATGCCTTTGCACCTGCAAGGCAGCCCCACCCCAGTGTACCTGTGTCCTGTGTTTGTTCAAAGACTCATCCAGTCAATTCATGCCTCATTCTCAGCCTCTGGACTTCCTGGCTTTATCTTCCCCAGTCAACAACCCCTCTTGTAACAGAAACTGCTTCTAACTGGGAACAGCGCCTTTCTCCTCGCATTTCCTCTGAGGTCACCTCGTTATGCGGACAGAACCCCGCGTCTTCAGTCCTACTGTATCCAGAGCAATCTCATGGGACGCTAAGCAAGATGTTTGCTGCAGAGAGAAGGCGGCGAGCAGATATGGCATTTGCCAAAGATGCTCCAAGCGCTCGCCATCTCAGCCTAACACGGCGGGCAATTCCCTACTCCACAGGCAGAGCGCAGCTCCGGGGGATATTCCAAGCCCCCCACCCAGAATGCGGACTCGTTCGTTCCGCGTCGGGGACGATGCCCACCCCACCCTCACCTGGAGTCCCCAGCAGCCGCGGAGAGTGACCGAGGCAGGGAAAGGCAGGAGACTGCGTTCGCCCTGCTGGAGCCAGGCCGATGCCCGCACCCTGGCTTAGGGTCTCGCAGTACGAGCGACTGCAAACGTTTCCGGGTCCGATGGCGCCTGCACAAAGAACTGCCGGCAGAACCGAGACTTCAACGGGCCGGGATACTCCAAGCATTCGGGGCACGGTTTTTCTTTAAGATGAATGGGAGGCGGGGGAGGGGCGGAGGACGCGCACAGCCGTGGAGTTTTCCAAACGGCGATCCGCGCTCGCGCGGGCCCCAGCCCTCGACACAGATCCGATCCTCCAGGGGTGCGGGGCCCGGAGCGGCGTAGGCGTGGGTGATTTTCGGACCCTAGCAAGGGGCTCCTGTGGGTGATTCCGGACCATCTGGGGCCGGTCCCGGGCCGCTGCGGCAGACAGGCTGCGCACAGACAATACCGGGGAAACGGCTGTTCCTTTTCATCACCCCGCGAGGATCCGTGAAGCGGAAGCACACAAAGCGAGCGGGGTTTCCCCGCAAGACCGACGGCGCCGCCAGCGCGGCTGCCGCTCCGACTGGACGCTCTCGGGCACCTTTGGTGCGTGCGGTCGCCACCAGGCTCGCCTGCTCGCCGCCGCGGGACAGCAGGACGAGGGGCGGGGGCCGGCGGTCAGGAAGGAGCGGGTCCCTGCGCCTCCCCGCGCGGGAGCCGGGCCGGAGCCTGCGGGCCCCGGCAGTGGCCGGACCCACCCAGCAGACCGTTACTCCGGCCGCGCCTGGGGCGGGGCGCGCGCGGCGTCTCCAAACGCCTCCGAGGAGGGAAACAGACGGGGAGAGGAGGACGCGACAGGGGAAAGCAGGGCAGGGGAAAGCGACAGGGGGATGGGAGCGCAGCCTCTGGGGCTGGAAATCGATTTCTCCGCCTTAGAGGAAGGCTGGATGCGAGCGAAGGAGGCCCACGTGCCCGCCCAGGCGCGGTGTTGAAGCGCCACCTTCCGTCGACTGGGGGCGCGGCGGGCTCGGAGCGCGGGCTCCGGGCTGGGGCGCGGGGGAGAGGCCGGGCCCCGCGGGGGGCGCGCGGCCGAGCGGCTGCACCCACCCCCATTGGATCTGGCGGGGCCGACCGCGGCGGTCCCCCGTGCGGGGCTGAACCCCCGCCGCCTCCGGCTGCTCGTGTGCCCGAGCGAGTAGCGGAGGATGGTGGCGGAGGAGCGCGCCCTGGCTGTGCACACCGTGGGACCTCGGGGAGGGGGAACCGGGCACAAAGGGACGCCGGGCCTCTCCGGAGACCCAGTCCTCCTACCGCGCGGGCGGTGGGCCCCCGAGCCTCCCGGTCCGCGCTGGGCAGTTGCACCGCTTTGGGAGCATCCCGGGCGGAGGCGCAACTGTGCGCACACGAGGATTTTTTTTTTTTTTTTTTTTTTCAAATAACACATTTCCAGACAGGCCTGCCCGCCGCCCCCGCCCCCTCCACAGCTTCCCCCCCCACCGCACCCCCATCCTCGCCGATCGGCCCGGAGGGCGGGGCGGCTGGGGCGGGGCCGCGGAGTTAATAAAGGGTGAGGGGAGGAGCCGGCGCGCGCCATTGGCCGGCCGCGGCGGTGATGTCACCCGCACGAGCCCCTGATAACTAGTTGGGAGCGGGCCCTCAACTTTTTGCAGAAGGAGCGCGCGCGCCTGGGAGTGCTCGGGGTCCGGCGCTTGCGGCGGGAGCCACGAGCCGGAGAGGGGGGTCCCGGGCCGCCCGGACCGCCGCGGCCGCAGCTCGGAGCGCGCGGGCGGCAGCCGCCGCAGCCGCTGTGCGCGGCCTGGAAGGGGCGACGGGGGGCAGGGGGGGCGCCGCGAACGCGGGGCGCCGAGGACTTCGCCAGTGGCCCGGGAAGGTGGAGGGGTGGGAGGGGGAGGGGGAGCTCGGCACGAGAGCGAGCGCCCGGCCCCGCAGCGGATCATGGTGCAGCAGGCGGAGAGCCTGGAAGCGGATAGCAACCTGCCCCGGGAGGCGCTGGACACGGAGGAGGGCGAATTCATGGCGTGCAGCCCGGTGGCCCTGGACGAGAGCGACCCGGACTGGTGCAAGACGGCGTCGGGCCACATCAAGCGGCCGATGAACGCGTTCATGGTGTGGTCCAAGATCGAGCGCAGGAAGATCATGGAGCAGTCGCCGGACATGCACAACGCCGAGATCTCCAAGAGGCTGGGCAAGCGCTGGAAGATGCTGAAAGACAGCGAGAAGATCCCGTTCATCCGGGAGGCGGAGCGGCTGCGGCTGAAGCACATGGCCGACTACCCCGACTACAAGTACCGGCCGCGGAAAAAGCCCAAGATGGACCCCTCGGCCAAGCCCAGCGCCGGCCAGAGCCCCGAGAAGAGCGCGGCGGGCGGCGGCGGCGGCGGCGGCGGCGGCGCGGGCGCGGGCGCGGGCGCGGGCACGGGCGGCGCCAAGGCCTCCAAGGGCTCCAGCAAGAAGTGCGGCAAGCTCAAGGCGCCCGCGGCCGGCGGCGCCAAGGCCGGCGCGGGCAAGGCGACGCAAGCCGGGGACTACGGCGGCGCGAGCGACGACTACGCGGCGGGCGGCCTGCGCGCGAGCGGCGCGGGCAAGACGGTCAAGTGCGTGTTCCTGGACGACGACGACGACGACGACGAGGACGACGACGAGCTGCCGCTGCGCCTCAAGCAGGAGGCGGACGACGAAGACGAGGAGCCGCCGCACGCGCAGCTCCTGCAGCCGCCCGGGCAGCCGCAGCCGCAGCCGCCGCTGCTGAGACGCTACAACGTGGCCAAGGTGCCCGCCAGCCCCACGCTGAGCAGCGCGGCCGAGTCCCCCGAGGGCGCCAGCCTGTACGACGAGGTGCGCGCGGGCGCCGCGGCGGCGGGCGCGGGGGCCGGCAGCCGCCTCTACTACAGCTTCAAGAACATCACCAAGCAGCAGCCGCCGCCGCCGCTGGCGCAGCCCGCGCTCTCGCCCGCGTCCGCGCGCTCCGTCTCCACCTCGTCGTCGTCGTCGTCCGGCGGCGGCGGCGGCGGCGGCGAGGACGCCGACGACCTCCTGTTCGACCTGAGCCTGAATTTCTCGCAGAGCGCGCACGGCGCCGGCGAGCAGCCGCTGGGCGGCGGCGCGGCGGCCGGGAACCTGGCGCTGTCGCTGGTGGACAAGGACTTGGACTCGTTCAGCGAGGGCAGCCTGGGCTCGCACTTCGAGTTCCCCGACTACTGCACGCCCGAGCTCAGCGAGATGATCGCGGGCGACTGGCTGGAGGCCAACTTCTCCGACCTGGTGTTCACCTACTGAGGGCGGCGCCGCGCTGCGCGCCCGGCTCCCCGCGGGCGCGCACCGGGGCCCCCGGGGCAGCGGGCGCGGCGGTGGCGGCCGCTGCGGCGCTGAGCGTGGCGGTGGTCGGGTGGAGGGGGCGCAGGATGCCGATGCGGTTGGTAGGATGCCGTGACGCGAAGACTTTGCAAGCGCGGAGGGAAGCGTGTGGGTGGAGACGAGGGAGTCGGTGTCACACTTTTTTTGCCCGTCCTAGTTGCTGCCCGAGCCCGGAGCTGTGAGCCCCCCACCCCCACTCACGCCCCCCCCCCCAGATGTGGTTTTTGTAATGACGATTTCTCTCCCCCCACCCCCAATCCGTGAGTGCCACCTAGGCGGGCGAAGGCGCGGCCGGAGCCCGTCGGTCTTTGAAGACGTCTGCGGAGGACCCTTTTGGCAGCACAAGTGTTCTCTAGGGAGTCGGTGGAGATTTTCTCTTTTCTTCTTAAAGAACTGGTGTCTTTTTTTTTTTTTGTAAGAAAGGAAAAAAACAGAAACATAAAAAGGGACCATTGCAACTTTTTTATTTTATTTTATTTTTTTGGAGGGAGAAAACTGATGTCTTCTATGCATCCGATTCTTAACAAAACTGCAGGGAGCTTGAAAAAATGCAGACTGTACAAACGCTTACAAAAAAAAAAACTGTGAACTGACTTTAAGATCAGAGTTTACTTTTCAGATCAAATTGTTTATGGTTTTACAAATGTGATTTCTACTTGCCAACTTTTTTTTTGTAACTTGTTCCCTTATACCTCCTTGATTGAATACCAGACAGCCTAGACCTCAGTACAAAAGGTATTGAAACATTTTTGATACATAACAGACCTCAGTCTTTTTTAAAAATTAATATATTTTCAGGCGTATTTTTGTACAGTGAAAAGGGAACATTCTTGCTGTGTTTTTTCAGTAAGACCTTCAGGCACTTCTTCCCTTTTGATTTGTTTTTTTTTTTTTTTCCTCTGCTTTTTAGCATGCAAGTATGTTGGTACGTTGTGTCCTGATTTAAAAAGGATTAACATTTTTAAAGTAATCCTTGCATCTAAAGGCCTTGTGGTTTTAAAAAAAAAAAGCAAACTTTTTTTTGTACAGCTATAGTAGAGATTTGTTCAATATTTGTAGGTAAAGATTTATTGAAAATGGTGATATAGACCTCAGAGCTGTTATCTTAGTTTAAAGATTGTATATGTACTGTACTATAGTAGGAATTATGTATCTCATACGCTGTGATATGTGGATGGGCCCCAGATGGAAGGTTTGAAACTGGATTCTCGATTTTTAGCAAAAGGAAAAAGAAAAAAAGGCACATAGTTTAAAAAGTTCCTCATTTTGTGCAATATAATCTAAATAAAGTACAGACCATCTGCATATTTTGTAGCAAATGATGGCAAAGCAGACTCAATGCACTGTCGACATCATTGCCTGGTTTTTTTTGTTGTTGTTGGTTTTTTTTTTTTTTTTTGGCTTTTTTTTTTTTTTTTTTTGGTGCTGGAAGTCTGTACCTTGACAATTTTAATAAATCAGCTGGAACTGATAGAAACTCGCATCGCCAATAGTCTCTATGGCAGTCAAACTGGAGGCTGCGTGGGTCGGCGGCGAGGCTGGGGACGGCGCGAGCGAGCCCCGCGCTCCACGGGAAGGCAGTTTCTCTTCCCCCTTCCCCGGGTCGCTGGAGAAAGACGGGGAAGGAGGTTCGCTCCCCGCCGGCCTTTCCATCCTCCATTTCCTTTCTCCGCGCCCTCCCTCTCCCCATCCGCCCCGGCGAGCTGGCGGGCGGCGGCGTAGTCCGGCCCCGGGCGCGCCTGGGGACTTGCGTCCCCGTGACGGCCGCCCGGGGCTGCGAGCTCCCCGCGCGGAGGCTGGGGGCGACCGTTCCCCGTTTTCGAATTTCCCTTCTTTCTTTGTTTTTGTGACGCCGTAGCTCCGCGTGTGCGCAGAGGTGGATGCTGGGGAGGGGAGGGGGGCGCGTACAGATCTTGGTCTCTTGGCGGCGACCGGCGAGAGCAGGGAGGACAGAGGAGTCGGTGTCGGTGTCGGTGTGTCCTGCTGGGGCCGAGGCAGGAGGCCGGACGCGCGGGTTTGGCCCCCGCGCCAGCTGACCCGGGTGTCGGCGTTGGCCAAGCCGCCGGTGTTGGGGCGGGGAGTGGCTGCTGCGCGCGCCCGGGTGGCAGCGCAGAGTCCTTGCGCGCTAGCTTGTGGCTCTGCGGGTCCTGGGGGCGCGTGGGGTCCTCGGCGCCTGGTCCCGCGGAGAAAGGACACCGAGGGAGGGGGCGCCTCGTTCTTGCGGCCCCTGGGCCTGCCCGGAACCATCTTTCTGGGGGGCGGCCGCGTAAAGTGTGTTTCGGCCTCTTGGTTCTCGGTCTCTCCCCGCTGCCTCCTTACGATCTGGGGTCCGCAGCTCGGGCAGATCTCGGCCGCAGCCCAGCACCCTCGTAGCCGGCCCAGGTGGGCGAGCATGGCCAGCCCCAGTCCCGCTGCGGCGCGCCCCTAGCCTCTTTCCGGAGCGCGGGGCGGGGGCGTCGCGCGGGGAGGCCCGCTGGGACCCGGCCCCGGAGGAGGTGCCCGGTGGCTCACTCGGCCCCGGGTCTCCAGGACTCGTGAAGCTACTGAAACGACTGCCCGAGGTGGGGTCTTTCATGTTTCCTGGAGATTTGGCGAGACCAAATGGGAGCGCCCGCTCGGTAACAGGAGCCGCTAGGCCCGAGGGGCCCCTGAGCGCTTCCCGCCTCCCCTGGCCGCCCACTTGTCTCGGCCGCCGCTCCCGCCCCCTGGGCCCGCGGCCAGCGCCGGCCTCCTGCAGCCTCGCTCCGGCCCGGGGCGCGCCGACGCCCCGATCCTCCAGTCCCGGGGCGCGTCCCGGCAGGGCGCGGATTTCTCTCATGGGCCTCGCTCCTTGTGGCTGAGCCGTCGGATTTCGGGAGCTCTGGGAAGCAGATGGGGCTGGCTGGCGTGGTCGCGGTGGACCTGGCTTTCCGGAGCGGTTTTCCTGGGCCGGGCTACCTGCGCCTGCGGTTCACCACGGGGTGCATCTCCGTGCTGGGCACCCGGGGCGGCGGCTCCGGGTGCGCCCCAGGCCCGTGGACGAGGCCGCCGCTGCTCAGGTATACTGGAAACCTGGAAGCTTCGCATGTGTTTGACGTGTTAATCCTAGATGAATCTGAACGTTTTCTGAAGGGGAGGCAGAAGCTTCACCGAAATGAGTCACATCTCAGAATTTGGTCTCAGAATGGAAACATAGTCGTGATTGTGTTTTTTTTTTTTTTTTTTTTTTTTTTTTTTTTTTTTTAGAAAAGAAAGCAAAGCTATGTGGCCTAAGTTCCTGACGGGAAAAATAAGAGGAGAGTAGTTTGCTTGGCGACCTAAATTCAAAACCTGTTAGAGCTCAGGACAGGCGCGTGGATGCGCTTTTCACAGTAGTGGAGGCTGTTTGGATGACTGCCTTGTGAATTATAATTCTACATGAATTCTTTCTTGAATGTCTGAAACATAATATAATACGCAAGGTCTTCTTGCCACTGGATAGTCTTCAATAAAAGTTTAATTGCCTTTTTTTTTTTTTTTTTTGGTCTCTTAAGTCAGTCTTATTTTTAACTAAGCATTGACAGAGTTATCTGCAAACGTTAACATTGGTGGGGGGGTGGGCATTGAGCCGGTGGCCTAGCCAGCGTGAATCCTGCTGTTTGTAACTCATTCAGACTTTGGTGGTGTTTTTGGTAGAATTTCCATCTTGAAGAACTTGAACCAGCATTCTCTTATGAATCGTTTAAACCGTGGAAATAATTTCCAGTTCTTACACTCTGATGTGCATCCCTTTTATTAAAAAAAAAAAAAAAAAAGCTAAGAAAAGGCAGTGTACTTAAACCAAGCTTTGCAAATACTATGTGTGTGACCAATGGCTACAGTCACTGGGCAAATTGTTTGTAGAATGACTACCCTTTAGCTAGAAAAGATCACTACAACTGTTTTGGGCAGAGATGTTTCTTTTTCATGTTAATCAAGGGGAAGTGACTTAAATATGCATGCGTGTAGCAGTCAGGATGATTTAGTTGTTTTTTTCCGTGAAAGACTCCAGAGGCAAGACTTATTTTTTTCTTCTCTGGGAATTGAAACCATAATCATCTTGATACTGGTATAGTACAAGAAATCTGCATTTGCTTTTCACTTCGGAATTTAAATGACTTTTGCCCAAGGAATCTGAGAAATAAAAGCGAATAAGTTGCTGTATTTTCAAGCAGTCATTCGATATAAATATATTATATCAATCTTGACTTTTTTATTCTCTGATATGATTAATAATGTGTATATTCTTACTTTTTCTTCTGATGGGCATATGTATCTTTGTGGACACTTTGGAGAGAGCTTTTCTTGGACTCTCCTATTTATAGAATCTTTATACTCTTTTACTGCGTGGTCCTCTCTCTTCACAGATTTCTGAGGCGAATATATTTGTGCTTTTTTCTTATGTAGGAAGACCAGCGAAAATAGTTTACTGAGTTGTCGATTTTATCAGTAGATAAGGAACTTTCTTTATTACAGTTTCAGGGAAGATTTTTTCAGGATATTTCTCAGTTATTCTAAGGGCCAAATTTTGTAAACTTTCCATTAGGAATGTCAGTTTCAAATACCCTTTGTATAGCCTATGCCTGTGAGGGTAACAGGAGCTAGCCTTACGCACCCTAACACAGCAGTTTACCAGTTCCCAAAGCAACCGTCTCCATGTCACCACGCTTGACATGCTTTTCTGAGAGTTGGCTTCTTTTGCTTATTGATTCTTTCTCACTGTTCATTCTGTCTGATTTCTTCCACCGTATCCCTTTCATTTGACGATCTTGAAAATCCTGCTCTTTGATAGTAACTCAGGTTAATTTTTTTTCTGTTTCTCTCTTTTTTTTTTCCTCCTCCCTGTGGCACCCACATTTTCTGTCACAATAAAGATTAAACGAAATGTATGAGCTAGAGCTTTCTTCCATTTTACTTACTGCTGGTTTTTTTCTCTTGAATTCTAATACATCTCCATTTTTCTCATTGCATTTTTTTAACACTACCTATATCCATTAGCTGCCTAATTAGT